AATGGCCAGGGAGGTATAACATATTTTAAGAGTGAAGAAGAGCAGGATGCGAGTGTGGGGGGAGGTGCAGGATCATGACAGAAATGTTAAAAGCAGGGGGGGATAGTGTTGGAGTGGTTGGTATTCTTGTTCAATAAATGTATGAAAGAGGGGTAGGTACCTAGGGATTGGCAGAGAGCGTATATAGTTCCTTTATATAAAGGGAACGGGGACAAAAGAGATTGTAAAAATTACAGGGGAACAAGTTTACTTAGTATACTACCAGGGAAAGTGTATGGTAGGGCTATTAGTGAAAGAATGAGAGGTAGGACAGATGAACAAGGAGGCTTTAGAATGGGTAAGGCATGTGTAGGTCAAGTGTTTACATTGAAGCATATATGTGAACAGTATTTAGATAAAGGTAGGGAACGTTTCATTGCATTAATGAATTTAGAAAAGGCATATGACAGGGTGGATAGGGGAGCAATGTGGCATGTTGCATGTGTACAGAACAGGTAGCAAGTTACTAAATACTGTAAGGAGTTTTTATGAGGATAGTGAGGTTCAGGTTAGGGTGTGTAGGAGAGAGAGAGAGAGAGAGAGCACTTCCCAGTAAAAGTAGGCATTAGACAGGGATGTGTCATGTAACCATGGTTGTAGAAAGTAAATGCTAGGGTGTTGAGGAGAGGGGTGGGATTAACCCTTTGACTGTTTTGGTCATATATATACGTCTTACGAGCCACCGTGTTTGATGTATATATACTACTCATAAATTCAAATCAAGCAGGAGAAAGCTGGTAGGCCCACATGTGAGAGAATGGGTCTGTGTGGTCAGCGTGCACCATATAAAAAAAATCCTGCAGCATGCAGTGCATGAGAAAAAAAAAAACTCCGACCATTTTTTTTTAATTAAAACGCTGACTTCGTGGTGTATTTTCATATAGTATTTATGGTTGTATTCTCGTTTTCTTGGTCTCATATGATAGAATGAAAAACATGTTATAGAAATGGAGGTGATTTTGATTGGTTTTACTATGAACAGAACCTTGAAATGGAGCTCAAAGTAGGGAAAAGATTTGATTTTTGCCGATGTACAAAAGTAAACAAACGATGTCATTGTCCAATAAATGTCCAACTAGCCATTCTAATATGCAGTCATGAATGGGTTAACATTGTTTATACAATTATTACAATATTGCAGTAGTTTGCATAACAGTAAATCTTCTATTTTTTGTTTGAATAAAAATTCAAAATAGAAAGCAAGAGTAATATCAGAGGGGCCTGGAGATGTGACTGATGAACAAAGAAAATGTTATTTTAGAGCCAGGAATGTCTGCACTGTTCATTCTGGACCCTATTTTGAAATTGGCATATTTTTTAATTTGCTTGAAATTAGCCAAATTGCAAATTTTTGACCATGTTACTGGGTAGTTGAAATCAGTGTATGGGCAGTTTCTTGTTCTCAATCAATAGAACAAATGGAGTTCTAAAGAAATAGCTATGAGTTTGGTCGACTGGAACAATGGAATTAGCCGGAAATAGGGCTCAAAGTAGGCAAAATTGCTGATTCGTAAATATTGCTGAAGTCACTAACTTCGCGAGAGCATAGTTCCATAAGTTTTCCATCAAATTTCATTCTTTTGGTAACATTACAATCGGGAAAAGATTCTCTATAATTTCATAAGAAAAAGTAATTTTTTTTTCAGAAGTTTTGCGACACCAGGAGACACCTCAGGATTTGGGGTTGCGACAGTCAAGGGGTTAAATTATTAGGAATTAAATATAAAATGGAAGTTGACAGTTGCCGTTTGCTGATGATACTGTGCTTTTGAGGGATTCCAAAGAGGTTGAAAAGGTTAGTGGACAAGTTTGGGAGGGTGTGTAAAGGTAGAAAGTTGAAAGTGAACACAGATAAGAGTAAGGTAATGAGGGTATCAAATGATTTAGATAAAGAAAAATTAGATATCACATTGGAGGGAAGGAGTATGGAAGAAGTGAATGTTTTCAGAAATTTGGGAGTTGACTTGTCAGCAGATGGGTTTATGAAGGATGAGGTTAACCACAGAATTGATGAATGAATAAAGGTGACTGATGCATTGAGGTATCTGTGGAGACAAAAAAATGTTATCCATGGAGGCAAAAAAGGGAATGTACAAGAGTATAGTGGTACCAACACTCTTATATGGGTGTGAAGCATTTGTTGTAAATGCTGCAGTGAGGAGGTGGCTGAGCCATTGGAGATGTCCTGTCTAAGGGCAATGTGTGGTGTAAATATTATGCAGAGAATTCGTAGTGTGGAAATTAGGAGGAAGTGTGGAGTTACTAAAATTATTAGTCAGAGGGCTGAAGAGGGGCTGTTGAGCTAGTTTGGTCATTTAGGGAGAATGGAAAGAAGAATGACCTGGAAAACATATAAATCCATAGGAGAAGGCAGGTGGGGTAGGGGTCGGCCCGGAAAAGGTTGGAGAGAAGGGGTAAAGGAAGTTTAGTGGGCGAGGGGCTTGCACTTCGAGCAAGTGTGCATGAGCATGTTAGATAGGAGTGCATGGAGACTAATGGTTTTTGGGACCTGACAAGCTGTTGTAGTGTGAGCAGGGTAATATTTTGTGAAGGGATTCAGGGAAACCAGTTAGCCAGACTCGAGTCCTGGAAATGGGAAGTACAGTGCCTGCACTTTAAAGGAGGGGTTTCGTATACAAGCAGTTTGGAGGGACATCTGAACTGTCAAATCTGGGTGCCTCTGCAAAGACAGTGATTATGTATGTGATGGTGAAAGAGTTAAATAATGGTGAAAGTTTTTTCTTTCTTTTTGGGTTTTTCTTTCTTTTTTTGAGTTACCTTGCCTTGGTGGGAAACGGTTGACATGTTAAAAAAAAAGAAATAGTCATGGAAGAGTTGAGCTCATAGGAGTAATGCAGTGCCTGGGAAATGAGAAGCGATCAATTCTGATCCAAGGAGAGTAGCTCCAATTCCTTGGATGAAGAGTCTGTCAATGACATCAAATCAAATCAAATTTTATTTCTTTGCAAGATTACATTCAGATTATGAAATTACAATAATGAGTTGCAGTGCAAAGAGAGCCACTATCATGCCTAGGCATTTATTTATTTATTTATTTAGAAATTTAGCATACATACAGAGGTACAAAAAAATACAGGTAAGAGCAGCATGCCAAAGCCACTTATATGCATAGCATTATGGGCTGGCTTACAATTAACTTAAGATTAACTAAGCAATGATGAAATCAGTGATAAGACATTATTGTAAACAGATAACTATAAAATACAAATGAGTATTACAAAGACAGGTCATATGGTTGCATGCATTGCTGTTCATTCAGTAGAATGGAGTATTCTGTTAGGTAGTGTATTTAAAAAAATAACAAAGTTAGGTTTAACATTTGTGTGATATAATTGTGAGTAACATTTAGGATATACAATTTATATGGTTCAGTTATTCAGTAGTTATTTGGTTTTGAGTAAGTGAACTTTGAGAAGAGACTTGAATTTATAAACAGGTAGTGTTTCTTTTATATTTACAGGTAATGAATTCCAGATTTTAGGGCCTTTTATGTGCATTGAGTTTTTGCATAGCGTGAGATGGACACGAGGAACATCAAAGAGTGATCTGTGCCTTGTATTATGGTCATGTGTTCTGTTGAGGTTGGCAAGGAGATGTGTGAGGGGAGGGTTAATATCAGAGTTAAGTGTTCTATGTATGTAATAAGTGCAATAATAAGTATGGATGTTTTGTATGGTGAGTAGGTTGAGTGTTTTGAATATTGGTGGAGTGTGCTGCCTGTATTGAGAATTTGTTATCATTCTAACTGCAGCCTTTTGTTGGGTAATTAGTGGTCTGACATGGTTAGTTGTTGTTGAGCCCCATGCACAAATTCCATAGGTAAGATAGGGGTAAATAAGAGAGTGATAGAGGGCCAGGAGGGCTGACTGTGGAACATAGTACCGTATCTTCGATAGTATGCCTACAGTCTTGGAAATTTTCTTAGAAATTTGTTGTATATGTGTATGAAATTTGAGTCTATTATCGAGGTGGATTCCTAAGAATTTTCCCTCTGTTAGCTTTGTGATAGGTGATCCGTTTATCGTTATGTTAAGAGGTACATCTGTAGCTCTGCTACCAAACTGAATGAAGTAGGTTTTGTCAATGTTTAGTGTAAGTTTGTTAGTCCTCATCCAGGTAGATATTTTCTGTAATTCGGTGTTTACAGTATTGGCTAGCGTGACTGGGCTCGGGTGAGAGAAGACGTATGTGGTGTCATCTGCAAAAAGTGTGGGTTTGAGTAATTGCGAAGCATTTGGTAGGTCATTTATGTATAGGAGAAAGAGAAGAGGGCCAAGGACACTTCCCTGTGGGACACCAACTGTAATTGGTTGTGCGGAAGAGCTTGCCCCATTTGCGTACACATATTGGCTTCTGTTGCTGAGGTAAGACTTGAGGTTTTACCTGGAGTTTACCTGGAGAGAGTTCCGGGGGTCAACGCCCCCGCGGCCCGGTCTGTGACCAGACCTCCTTGAGGTAAGAGCAAATAAACAAGAACAAGAACTAGAAAGAAAATAGAAGAAAACCCAAAGGGGTGTGTATATATATGCTTGTACATGTATGTGTAGTGTGACCTAATTGTAAGTAGAAATAGCAAGACGTACCTGAAATCTTGCATGTGTATGAGACAGAAAAATGGACACCAGCAATCCTACCATCATGTAAAACAATTACAGGTTTCCGTTTTACACTCACTTGGCAGGACGGTAGTACCTCCCTGGGCGGTTGCTGTCTACCAACCTCTAATACCATAGTGTGACAATTTTACGTGGAGCAAGTCATGGTCAACTGTATCAAAAGCTTTACGTAAGTCAATGAAGATCCCCAGAGGGGCAGACTTAATTTAATGGCTTACAGACTACTTAATACTAAAGAAATTGATCATAGTTTGCTTAAGTTGTACATCTTTTTTTATTTCAACACATTTAGTTAATTACATGAAACTAAGATCTTCAACATACCATCTTTTTGCATTCTTCAATGACTCGACTCACAAACTCATCATGGATGGACTCCTCAACAAAAAGTCTTCCTGCAGCAATACAGTTCTCACCCTTGTTGAAGAAGACACTGCTCATACCCTAAGAAAAATAAATCATTGTTCAATTCATATTCTATACCAAAGTCCATACATCAACCACTTACAGTCATTATTAAATATGGTTACCAAGAAGAAGACATTTTTAGGGCAAGTATTATGGCTTTTTTCTGGTGAGGTTCTTCCAGTCCTCCCCTAAGGTGCTATCCATAAGTTGACTAATTCCTAGATACAGTAAGAGTTTGATTTACTGGACTAAGAGAGTGTCTGGCAATGTAAAGTGTCGTGTAAATCTTTATAAAAAAAAAAAAACAAAAAAAAAAACTATACTGTACTCTACTGTATACAAAATACAGTACAGTACACAATTTACAGATATACAGTATGACCCCCATATCTGTGGGGGTAACATTACAAGGACCTGCTACATATGTATAGTGGTGGGTTTTGGAGGGGTGTAGGGATGGAGGCTGGAAGCAATGAGAAGGTGTGATGGTGAACATGTGGGTGGTAGTGTGGATGATGGGTGACTGAGCAGGTGAATGTGCACTTGGTGTGGGCAATAATTGAGAAGGCTGCTGGCTACATGACTAGCAGTACATGCAGATGACATGTTAGGGTATTTGGGCTGTGAAAACATGGGTAAAGTGTGGGCATGGGGCTGTGAGCTAGAAGCTGTGGGGGAGTGGTGTGGGTGAAAGGTGTGCTTGTCAGTGGCCTGGTGTGGGTGGTGATTGGATGATGGGTGATAGGGTAACTGATTGTGCAGTTAGTGGTAATAAGCATGGTGGGTAAGTGATTAGGTATGTGGATGGCATGTTAGGGTGAAAGGTCAGGTAAGGCATGTGGGTGAGGTCACAGGGACTCTGTGGCTGTGAAGGAATGGTGGTTGTGGGGGACTGGTTTAGGTGTAAACATGTAGCCATGGGGGGGAGGTGGAGGGGTAGTTTGTTAGTTGGGATGGTGTGGGTGAAGGCATGTGGCCTTGGGGGAAATTATAGGGGCAGGAGGTATGGGTAGGTTGTTGCTGGGTGTACAGCAAGGGTGTGGCTATAGGGGGGAGGGGTTGAATGAGCAGTTGGTGTGGGAGGTGTGTGGCTGAGGTATGGCACTGGGTGATTGGTTGTTTATCAATGTAGCATGAGGTAAGGTATTAGACATGTACCAACATAGAATCCTTAGCCTCACTGCCAGACAGTGCAGGCACCCATCTCCCATCATCTCAGTTTCCTCCCTTAAGGCTGTTTGTATAAGTTTTTATGATATGCAGAGTGTTTCTTATATAATTCTGAAAAACAAATGATACCTAAAATAATAAAATTGTCAATAATAGCACAAATATAGAACTTTATACACCTCAGAGTTACATGCTTCTTTACGTCATGGCGTCAAAAGCATTTCTATGCCTCTGTGATATTGCTAAATGGTGATTTTATTATATTCAGTAATAATAATAATCATTATTTAACCCTTTCAGGGTTTCCAACGTACTGGTATGGCTTACACACCAGGGTTATTGACGTACTAGTACGCCTAAATTCTAGCACCTTCAAATCTAGTGAGAGAAAGCTGGTAGGCCTACATATGAAAGAATGGGTCTATGTGGTCAGTATGCACAGTATAAAAAAAAAATCCTTCAGCACACAGTGCATAATGAGAAAAAAAAAACTCCGACCGTGTTTTTGGTTTAAAACAGCGACTTTGCAGTGTATTTTCGTATGGTATTTATGGTTGTATTTTAGTTTTCCTGGTCACATTTTATAGAATGGAAGACATATTACAGAAATTGAGATGATTCTGATTGGTTTCATAATAAAAAGTACCTTGAAATTGAGCTCCAAGTAGCAGAAATGTTCAATTTTTACTAAAGTTCAAAAGTAAACAAATCATGCCAAGCATCTTATACACATCAACTGGTGAGTCTAATGTTCTTTCACAAGTGCGCTGATATTATTTATACCATTTCTACACTAATGCAGTAGTCTGCATAACAGTAAATCTTCTATTTTTTGTGAGAATAAAAATTCAAAATGGAAAGCAAAAGAGATGTACGAGGGGCCTGGGGACATGACTAATGAACAGAGAAAATGTTATTTTAGTGCCAGGAATGTCTGTCTTGTTTATTCTGGACCCTATGTGGAAATTGGCATCTTCTGAAATTTGTGTAAAATTGGCAAAACTGCCAATTGGCAAAATTGCCAATTTCTGACCACTTTATTGGATAGTTGAAATCGGTAAATGGGTGGTTTCTTGTACTCATTCAATAGAAATAATGGATTTCTAGCAAAATAGATATGATTTTTGTTGATTAGTACACTGGAATTGGCCGAAAATAGGGCTCAAAGTGGGCGAAATCGCCAATGCATCAACAGCGTCGAGTCCGCTAACTTCGTAAGAGCATAATTCCGTAAGTTTTCCATCAAATTTCATACTTTTGGTGCCATTATGATAAGGAAAAGATTCTCTATCATTTCATAAGAAAAAATAATTTTTTTTTCTGGAAAATTTTCAACCCTGAGAACAAGTTTAGGAGAGGGCCTCTTGACCCTGAAAGGGTTAATTAATATGATTATTATTACTTATGATTATTATATTATTTTCTTCAGAAACATTGTGTGAAAATGAGATTAACAACAAAATGTTGCCAGACTGAACTATTTTTTGGTAAGCTTAATCCGTTTTCATACCCACCAGCCTGAGTGTGACTTCCTCCACCTTAATTAAAAAAATCTTGGCCTACTGTTTACATACATACCTATGATAAAGCTTAACTGAGAAATTAAACTCCACCCATCACCACTCCTAACCACTCACTACTACCACCCACCACCCACTGCTGCTCTGCTACTGCTGCTGAGAATATGACGACAACTTTTGCAGTGCCAGTATCTGCCAGTTTGCTGCCAATTCCAATTTTCAGTATTTTTTTTATTCATTTGTTTGGTGACTGATCTTAATGAAATTTTATATGACCATGTTTTATGCACTCTTAGTCAAACAGTAAAAAATGAATGAAATTGAATGATAAAAAAACGAAATGTCAAATTCCAACCTCTATCTTTGGGCTAATATACACTGCAGGTACCGGATCACCGGATATGGGGTCCGACTGCACTAAACATTGAAAATAAAAATTATTATCATGGAGGAGCTTGAGGTTCCTAAAACTGTATTCCCTGGAATGCAGGCGGGAGAGATACATGATTATATACACCTGGAAAATCCTAGAGGGACTAGTACCGAACTTGCACACGAAAATCACTCACTATGAAAGCAAAAGACTTGGCAGACGATGCAACATCCCCCCAATGAAAAGCAGGGGTGTCACTAGCACGTTAAGAGACCATACAATAAGTGTCAGGGGCCTGAGACTGTTCAACTGCCTCCCAGCATACATAAGGAGGATTACCAACAGACCCCTGGCAGTCTTCAAGCTGGCACTGGACAAGCACCTAAAGTCGGTTCCTGACCAGCCGGGCTGTGGCTCGTACGTTGGTTTGCGTGCAGCCAGCAGGAACAGCCTGGTTGATCAGGCTCTGATCCACCAGGAGGCCTGGTCACAGACCGGGCCGCGGGGGCATTGACCCCCGGAACTCTCTCCAGGTAAGCTCCAGGAGGGGGGAACACTAAATTCATAGGAATTATACAGTGAAAATAAAAAAGAGTTAAAGGTACAGCAAAGTCATTTTTTTATATTTTGCATTGGACAAATAAAATTGTTTTGCTGAGACTGCATGGTGGTGGCCCAGAATACTGTAATTTTAATTTTGAGTTGGAGAAGCTGAGAAACTTCACTGCCCTACTTGTTGATATTTGAGATAGAGAAACACTTCCTCTTAACACTAGTAGTACTTGCTTTAGAGGTCATGGTTAGTCACAGTGTACTTTATATAACAATAAAGATATAAGGTACTTCCTGACTTATAATGAGGTTATATTTCGATGAACTCATCCCAAGTTGAAAGTGTTGTAAACTGAATGTGAATACGTATATGATATGATAATAAAGTAAATAAATTACTACTGTCACTGATGAGTATGGGCATGTTTGGCAGCAAAAAATAGCCTTTACATCAGGATGCAGGTCACCGAGATGCTGTGGATGTCCTGGAGAATTATCTAAAATAAAGAGAATCTTGAAGGGTATGTTGTGTTGACAACAATATTCTTTCACCAGTCTTCAAACAATGCTAATGTTGGTAGATAAGACACATAGGCAACATTTAGGCAACTTTATTTCGAAACGTTTCGCCTACACAGTAGGCTTCTTCAGTCGAGTACAGAAATTAGGCAGGAGCAGTAGAGATGTGAAGACGATGTAATCGTTGCCTATGTGTCTTATCTACCAACCTGTCGGTATTGTATACCATTTGATAATGCTAATGTCGTTGAGGCCTCCTTGTTATGGTGATAATTGTTATGGGGCTATAGGACCCAACATGTGTTTATAAGTAGCAGTTACTCTGGAATACCTAATTATATTGAATTGATGGGGACACAGCACTTAAATGGCCCATAGGGAAGATCACTCTTAGGGACTGAGAGGCAGCTGGGTCAAGCCTATTTTTCTCAATATAACAGGTTATACTATAGACACACACAGTTTAAATAAGTAGTTTATAAAGTTGTATTTCTTTTTGTAGAATTAAATTAAGGTGTGGGAGAGCTGTGGTAACTAGAGAATTGTGCTTGGCAACAGTCTTTTGTTTTTTGGTGGGTGTGGAAGGAGCTTTTCTAGGCTCCTCCCTCTCCCTCTCTCTGTTGACTTCAAGCTGGTAGGACCTCTGGGTCCTTCTTTCTATTTTTTGGGCATTATGTGTGCCCCAGGGGTGAGTTTTTAAAACTTAAGTTGTGGCCACCATACCCAGAGTGACTAAAGTGTGTCAAAACACTGGTTAGCCCAGAGATTAGTCATGAAGAGAGAAGGGCAAAGTTGCTGAGATGCACCATGTGGGAGAGCAGCTAAGGAGTGTGTAGACTTATGTTTTGTATACTGTATATTCTGTACATATCTATTGAGAATACAGTTATATTTTTTTATAGAAGCAGTTTAAATATCCTGTGAAGAGGGCTGGTGAAAGCATTTTCAGAGACAATGAGGATGATCAATCATTAATATAAGTATTACCCTAGACTGATAGTCTCTAAGTAAAAAGCTACCCCACACTAGGACATGTAGTGAGAACCTTACTATCAAAGTAATAAGGGACAACAACATAACAATAATAAATGGAATGCATATGCTGCGGTTCTTAGAGTAGTAGATTAGGAAAACTACTGCACCATCGTAAAGTCAAAATATCATAAGTTGAACCATCATAAAGCGAGGAACATCTGTACACAATAAATTATATTTTTAAGTTACAAAAAACACTGAGATAAGCTAAGACAGTTTCCAACTAAAAAAAAAAAAAAGCTGCTAATAGGACATAAAATAGTTTTCCTTCATAACCAGAGCATTATATATCACAAGTGCTACAGCCACTGGAGACAAATTTTTTTATAACAGGCTAAATACTGAAGATGGGAACTACAAACATATCTCTGCTCCCACAACTACAAATGGGTAATCACTTACCATGCGAACAGCTTTGTCTAGATCACAGTCAGCAAAGATGATGAAAGGTGATTTTCCCCCAAGTTCCAGTGAGACCTTTTTTAAGTTGCTCACAGCACATGACTTCATGATCACTTGACCAATTTCTGTGCTGCCAGTGAAACCTAGCTTACGTACATCAGGATGATCAGCAATGGCCTGACCACACACACTACCTGCAAGTCAAGTTGATGTTGGTACACAAATATAGAATTTGTAAAAACAAATATTTTGTCTTCTAGTATTTAAAGTACAAATGCAAATCATTCATTACTGTTCTGGTAATCTGATAATGTAATATTCTCATTTTCCTTTGTAAAGATCACTATTTCTATGTAACTGAATACCTCTGGGGTTCTAAGAAAGCAAACTGTAATAATAAAAGTATATAACCAAATGGTGATCTTCAATAATGACTGTAGTTTTAAAACCTTAAGTTTTTTTATTATATTCCTTTTTAACAGCACAAAGCATCCTCAACCCCTGCCAATTTGGCTTCAGAAAAAGCAAAAGCACAAACCATGCAATTGTAAAAAAAAATGCCAGACCTACTTTACATAGCACTTGAAAAAAATGAATACAAATTAGGACTCTTTATCGACCTAAGGAAAGCTTTTGATACAGTAGGCCACAGCATCCTACTCCACTAACCTGATCATTATGGTATAAGAGGTCATGCACTTACATATTTCAACTCCTACCTTACTAACAGGCATCATTACATCTCTATGAAGGACACAACCTCATCAACAAGAGTACTAGATACTGGACTACCACAGGGAAGTGTCCTTGGTCCCCTGTTCTTCCTCTTATACATCAATGATCTTCCTAATGTATCACATGATGCATGTCATCTCCCACCCTAATCTTGCCTCACTCAACACTTTTGTTAACAAAGAGCTAGTAAAAATATTGACCTGGATGACTGCTAATAAACTTACACTTAACCCCTAAACGGTCCAAACGTATACAGTGGACCCCCGGTTAACGATATTTTTTCACTCCAGAAGTATGTTCAGGTGCCAGTACTGACCGAATTTGTTCCCATAAGAAATATTGTGAAGTAGATTAGTCCATTTCAGACCCCCAAACATACACGTACAAACGCACTTACATAAATACACTTACATAATTGGTCGCATTCGGAGGTAATCGTTATGCGGGGGTCCACTGTATATACGTTCACTCGCGTACTGCCACAAATTTTTTGAGAATTTTTTTTTTTTTAATAGGAAAAAAGAGCATATGGTATCCAGGCATCCCAAATTATTTTAATATGGCGCACAGTGAGTGTGCACACCCATTCTCTCATGTCTAGATGACTCAGGTTTATTGTGGCAATGTTGAATGAATGACAAAGAAAACGTATATATATGTTTGGGGCGCTACACACGTGAACGTATATATACGTTTGGACCGTTTAAGAGTTAATATTCACGAAACCTTCTACATTATGACTGATAACACTCTTATTGCTAAACATAATGAGGGCAAATTCCTGGGCCTGCACCTTGACAACAACCTGAAATTCAACACCCATATCCAGCACAAAACAAAAAAGTATCAAAAACAGTTGGAATCCTCTCCAAGATATGTTACTACACTACTTACACTATACTATTCACTCATCCCTCCCTCACCTATGCTATTTGTGTCTGGGGATCAACAGCAGCAGCCTATCAAAAGCCAATAATAACCCAACAAAAAGCTGAAGTAAGAATTATCACAGTCCAATGCTAGACAACACCCTCTCCCCCACTTTTCAAAGACCTAAACTTACTCAGTGTACAAAACATTCACACCTACTACTGTGCAACCTACATTTACAGAACCATAAATTCTAAAATTAACACTGAACTGAAACACTTTCTTGATAGTTCCAACAGGACCCGTAGACACAATACCAGATACAAAAATCTCTGACATTCCTCGTGTTCGGCTAAATCTCTACAAAAATTTGATTTATATAAAAGAGCCTAAAATCTGGAACACCGTGCCTGAAAATTCTAGAACCGCAAACTCTACCACCATTTTAAAAACTACTGTTAAAAAACATCTTATCTCCCTGACACACCCCATCATCAGCTATATGAAAACCATGAACATATCCAAAACAAAATAGACTTACTCTCATTATCTGTAGTTGTCCTTAACCCTTTGACTGTTTTGGTCATATATATACGTCTTACAAGCCACCGTTTTTGAAGTATACATACTCATAAATTCTAGCGGCTTCAAATCAAGCAGGAGAAAGCTGGTAGACCCACATGCGAGAGAATGGGTCTGTGTGGTCAGTGTGCTCCATATAAAAAAAAAATCCTGCAGCACACAGTGCATAATGAGAAAAAAAAAAAGGACCGTATTTTTTTAATTAAAATGCTGACATTGTGGTCTATTTTCATATAGTATTTATGGTTGTATTCTCATTTTCTTGGTCTCGTTTGATAGAATGGAAAACATATAGTAGAAATAGAGGTGATTTTGATTGGTTTTACTATGAAAAGAACCTTGAAATGGAGCTCAAAGTAGGAGAAATGTTTGATTTTTGCCGATGTTCAAAAGTAAACAAATGATGTCATTTTCCAATAAATGTCCAAGTAGCCATTCTAATATGCAGTCATAAATGGGTTGAGATTATTTATACAACTATTACAATACTGCAGTAGTCTGTATAACAGTAAATCTTCTATTTTTTGTTTGAATAAAAATTTAAAATAGAAAGCAAGAGTAATATCAGAGGAGCCTGGAGACATGACTGATGAACAAAAAAAAATGTTATTTTAGAGCCAGGAATGTCTGCACTGCTCATTCTGGACCCTATTTTGAAATTGGCATATTTTATAATTTGCGTGAAATTGGCCAAATTGCAAATTTCTGACCACGTTACTGGGTAGTTGAAATTGGTAAATGGGCAGTTTCTCTTATTCAATCAATAGAAAAAATGAAGTTGTAAAGAAATAGTTATGAGTTTGGTCGAGTGGAACAATGGAATTAGCCGAAAATAGGGCTCAAAGTGGGCGAAATCGCTGATTCATAAATATCGCCAAGGTCGCTAACTTCGCAAGAGCATAACTCCGTCAGTTTTCCATCAAATTTCATTCTTTTGGTGTCATTACAATCGGGAAAATAATTCTCTATCATTTCATAAGAAAAAATATTGGGGGGGGGGGGGGATTTTGTGACACCAGGAGACACCTCAGGATTTGGGGTTGCAACAGTCAAGGGATTAATTTGCACTTACACTCAAATGACTGTAAACATAGAATTCCTAATATAGCTATTGCCTAATAAATCTTAAGTTAGTCCTAAGTTTGCCTAAGATACTCTCTCAATAGAAACAGTGTATCATGCCAAGACAAAACCATTCCCATTACTAAATTTGCTAATTATAATAGTGTTATATGTTTTGCACTACCTCATTATTATAAATCTAATTAATCACTTCAGTTACCTAACTTTTATTTCAGTATGCATTAAGGTATGTATAATAAAATACGTATACTACTCCATAACCTGTGTCATTATAAAGCAAGAATTAGGAGTAGTCTGCCCGAAATGCCCAGGCATGCTAGTAGCCTTCTTGTAATTAATATTTTATATGTAAACCAAAAACTGTCTTATCTTCACTATCATTAGTCTAATCTTCACCACTATCATCACTAGTCTTCACTATCATCACTAATCTTGTCTTCACTATCACTAGCCTTATCTTCACTATCACTAGTCTTTTATATCATTACTAGTCTTAACTTCACTATCATTACTATTCTTATCTTCACTATTATCACTAGTATTATCTTCACTATTATTAGTCTTATCTTCACTATCATTAGTCTTATTTTCACTATCATCACTAGTCCTATCTTCATTATCATCACTAGTCTTATCTTCACTACCATCACTAGTCTTATCTTCTTATCCTGCAGCAAATGGTTAGTAGACAACAAACTATTATTACACCTCAGGAAAACTGAAGCCATTCTCTTTGGCACGAAACAAACTGCGAAAGGTAAATAATTTTAATGTCCAGTGTAATGGGAAGCCCATCACTTCAGTTTTCTCAGTAAAATATCTGGGAATCCCCTTTGACCCATGCATGTCAGGAGAATTGATAGGGAGCAGTGTAGTAAAGAAAGCGAATGCCAGACTGAAATTCCTCTATAGACAAGCACAGCGTCTAAATCAAATCAAATCAAGTTTATTCTCTATAAGGATTACAATGCTGAGTTTACAGAATTTGGATATTGTGTGGTTTACATGTTTTAAAATACTAATTACAGACAGGGCCACTAGAACACCTAGCATGGCTAGGCATTTCGGGCAGACTTAGATTAATTCTTAGCTTCAAAATATTACAAATTATGAGGTAAGTTGGCAGTATGGCTAAGTGACTAAATACTAGTTTGTGAGTTTAGCAATGTGAATGCTTTTGTTTTTGCATAACACATAGATTCAGTATTGGAGTATCACAGGCCAACTTATGACTAGTTAAGATTCATTATTTTAAGATTAAGATTGATATTTCTGTGTTGATGGTCAAATGGGTGAGTTAGTGTAGGTGTGAACCACCAGGTGGTATTCATGTAATTAGTTGACGGGGTGTATCAGGGAGATAAGATGTTTTCTAATGGTAGTTTTGAAGGTGATGAATGTGTCTGCAGTTCTAGATTCTAGAGTATTCAGGGAGAGTGTTACAGATTTTAGGGCCTTTGACATACATTGAATTTTTGTAAAGGTTTAGTCGGACACGGGGAATGACAGAGATGTTTGTGTCTGGTGTTATGTCTGTGGGTTCTGTCACAACTATCAAGAAAGCGTTTTAGGTCAAGGTTAATATTGGAATTTAAGGTCCTGTAGATGTAGATTGCACACTAGTAAATGTAGATGTACTGAACAGGGAGTAAGTTTAGATCTATGAAGAGTGGGGGGGGGGGTGTTGCCAGGGATGGGATTTAGTGATTATTCTTACTGTGGCTTTTTGTTGGGTTATTATTAGCTTTAGGTGTGTTCCTGCAGTTGATCCCCAAGCACAAATAGCATAGGTGAGGTATGGATAAATAAGTGAGTGGTATAGTGTGAGACGGGCAGTTTGCAGCACGTAGTATCGTATCTTGGAGAGGATCCCAACCGTTTTGGATACGTTTTTGGTTGTGTGTTGGATATGGGTGCTGAAATTCAGGTTGTTGTCGAGGTAT